CAGGGCCGGGAGCCAACCGCGCTGCAGCTCCCTCGCTTATCGACTAATTGACTAGTCGATGAAAATTCCATTGACTAGTCGATTAGTTGATTAAATTTAACATCATCAGTTTAGGCCACAACCCCCCTTGCACTTCTTCACTGGTCCCCCTCATCAAGACTGTTCCTGCAGTCAGGGCATGAATTATCAACATAGACGGTCTTCACAGCCATTCTTAGGCTAGGGCCAGTGCCATTCCAAACTGCCCTCAGGCGGCACACCAAATTTTTGAAAGTGCTTCATCCTTGGGCTCTCTAGTTCTTTTCCTGAATCTGCTCTCTACCCCTTTTTGGAAATCACCTATCCCACTTCTGCTATGCTCATGCCCATATCACTATGGGCCACTGGGTCCTGAGCATGGTAAGGGTGGGATATTCCCTTCTCTCCCCACCCTATCAGCCCTCCAGCCTCAAGGAACCCTCTCACAAGCATCTCCTCAGTCAGGAGATGCAGTCACTCCTCACAATGGTCCTGTTTACAATGAGAGACAGCAGGAAGTGTCACAGGTTCTGTTTAGAACAATAGCTGTAGCAGACGTGTTTCACATCCTGGTTGGACCACCTGCTTCTATGCATTCCCTTCCTTCCCACTAGTACATGGAGTCCTCAAAATTCAGAAGAACAAGGTAGACATCGTGCCTGCGTAGCCTTAGCAGCATTGGTTCACAATGTTGCTCAGCCTCTCAAAGTACACACCAATAGCGCTCTCACTCTACTCCAATGGTGGGGAAACTTTTTTGGGTTGGGGGCCACTTACCCACAGAAAAAGCTGTCAGGGGCCTCACCCAAGTGAGAAGCAAAAGGAAAAAACCCAATCAAAACAAATCCTCACTGACGTGGCCCCCAAACTGCAAATGAGAAGGACAGTCCCCACATTCCCCTCACACACCAGTGTCTGGTGAAGCCCAGGCTAGTAGATTTTTGTGTGTTCCTGCCCTGAGGAGAGGTGGCAGAGGGCTGGAGTGTCAGCATGGGCTTCCCAATGCTGGGAGGGAACCCTGAGCCTCGGGGGCCAGATCCATGCTATCTGGGGGCTGCAGCCGGCTCTTGGGCCTTAGGTTCCCAGCCCTTGCTCTACCCCAACCTTCTTACCTGGAACCACAGCATACAAACCTCCAGTCCTTCCACCTCATGGCATGGAGACTCCCATGGCTGAATCAACTGGGATTTCAATGCTCTGACTTAGTTAGGGAGGTCTGGCTGGGTAGCAGAAAACCCTCCACTAAGGCAACATACTTAGACAAGTTGAAATATTTCTGACTCTGGTCCCTACTGATAGGCATTCACCCTCGTGAGGCAGCCTTGCCATTGGTGCTAGATTGTCTTTTGTACCTGAAGCACCAGAGACTGGCTCTTTTGTCCATCAAGTTCCACTTGACTGCCATGTTGACCTTCCATTCAGGGGTGGGAGATAGACCTCTTTCACCAACTCACTATACAGCACTTCCTCAAGGGGAATACCCATCCATATGTGACCCTGGAGGGAGATGGGTGAACAAATGTTCATACCGCTGCTGGTGAACAAAGTAGCGTCTCTCAACCCTTTTACCTGTCAGTGAAAGAGAGGGTAGGATCTACCACACCACCTTCATGGTAGAGAGTATAATCTTGATCAATGACAAAGCCACCCTTGACAGACCTTCAGAAGCCAGGATGTTAATCACTGGATCTGAATCTTCTATCACCTCCTATGTTGGCACAATTATATGAGGGCCACCTGCCTCAGAAGGTCCTGATGTGCCTTAGCATCAAAGGCAGTAAAAGAGGAGGACATGCCCACAACAGCATCTTCTAGAGAGGACGACGGTGGCCTGGGAACCAGGTCCTCCTGGCCCTTGTCCTCTCTGAGGTCCCCACTTGCAGATGGCAGGCAAGAGGAAGCCACTGACACCTCCCTCGGCACTGGGTCTTGACTTTGATGGTAGGCCCGGGGTGTCCAGAATGGCCCCAGCACAGGAACAAGGGCAAGAAGAACCCAATGGCAGTCCCAGGAGCGGTGCTGTGAACGGGAATGGGAACAGTACCAGCCACTATGGTAGAAGAACAACTTGAACTACGACTCTAACATATAGTCGGAGATGGACCACAGAGGTACAGTGCCAGAGAACAGTGCCGAGGAGATGGAGAGCAGCACTGTAATAGGATTGGCTTGCCTCAGAGCAGAACTGGAGCCAGTGCTGGCATAAACCCAAGAGTTGGTGCTGAGAGAGAGAGGGCTGTGGTGCTGGCAGTGCCACTGGCCAGGTAGATTCTGGGATAGGCATCTAATAGCGCCCCACAGCTGGGGCTAGTGCCTGTATGTGTGCCAGTAATTACCAGTGCTGTATGTACCATCTTTTGGATAAGCTCCCCTGGCGGCCTCAAAAGTATCTGAAGTGGATGGGAGGTCCAGGTCCTCCTTCAGGACTCTCGGCACTGGAGGGTCCAATGAGCCCGGACTCGATGATCCCATTCTCAGGTCTGGAGTCGAAGTTACTCCTGGGCACCTCAACGAAGTATCAAAATTGGGCATGATTCTGATTGTTTCCTTATACAGGAAGTCTGTCCATGTCTTAAACAGATGGGTCAGTAGCATGCCTGTTCTAAAAAATTTGCATGGTTATCAGGCCATATGTTAACCAAGCCATCAGCTAGACCTAAGGCACAGAATGCTAGAGGGATGAACAAGAAAAATAGAAAGACTCAACACAAACAAATAAACAAAGACCAGTTTTGAGGCACATTTGTTTAGAAATCAGATGAACAAGTAAATTAACCAGGTTTGTCACAAACATTGGTGATAATAGTGAGTATGAAGTTTTCAAATTGCTAAATCTATTGACTTATAATGTTTTTACCATCTGTGGCATCAAACCAGTTACTGCCAATATGACACACAACATGTAAGTTATACTTTACCAACTCTTTTATGAGACCAAATAATTATTGTGAATAATGTAAAAATACCATTCCTTTCACAGCTCCACTCCTGGGACCACTATTGGGTGCTCTCTGAGCACCATAGGCATCTTGCTCTGTGCAATGGTAGGTTCCTGTGCTGGGACCATTCTGGACATCCTGGGCCTATCATCAAAGTCAGGACTCAGTGCCAAGGGCAGCGTCAGTGGCTTCCTCTCGCCTGCCATCTTCAAGTGGGGACCTCATATACAGCGACGGAGACCTTTTGGTATATCATTGCTTTAAGAGGTGCCATCTGGACTTTACACTACACTGTCATTATGCAGAGTCTAAAAAAAGAAATGGGATTCTCTCTGCCCACATTTGAAATATGCGGTAAACCAAACTGGTGCTATTACTAGGCAGTGTTTGCTTGGAGATGATGGGGTTGGTATTTAAGACATTTTTAGTGACATTTAAGATGCAGTGTAATTCAATCCATTTTACATTTCCTGCAAGAGCATGGCTCTGAACTACATGAGCCATATCATGGCCTTCACAAGAAAGTATTCTCTTCCGTAGGGAAACTTCTGCTGACCGGGGGGAAATGCTAACACACCGAGTGGCTTTCACTAGACCACTTCCCATCTAAACCCAGAAATGCACCTTAGAATATGAGAGCCCCACACGTGTTGAAGGGCTTTAATGGAGGGAGAAAAGATGCTCTCTCAAACTCAAACATCCCCTCTCACAAGAACTGTAACCTTTTAGTTTGCAGAGACCATGGTCAGGCCCTAGGGTATTTTACTTGTCTGAACCATCTTCCCCACAGGTAATGGCCAGGCAACCTCTCTTTTGGATTAAGAATGATAAGTATCTGTTTCCAGTTTCCATCCTGAAAGGGGGACCTGTCTTTTCAAATGACATCAGATAACTGCTGCTTCAATTCTAGCTCTCCCATGGCTTAGCCTAGGAGTCATTTTTGTTTCAAAAGATTATTTTCCTCTAAGAAAGTGAACAAGGTAGGAAAGAGAGAGGAAGAAATCCAATGATTTGTGAGTTTAAATACTGCTTCAGAGGGGGGTACATCAGTAGTTTACATTAATCTCCAGGGTTCTAATCCCAACTCTGCTACCATGTAACTTTAAAGATTATCCCAGACAAGGCTTTTGACTTAACTATGCCTTCATTTTTTCCTCTACAAGATGAATAAGCTACTTATGTACATTAGAATGCTTTCAGGGTTAATTAATAAAGGGCTCAGTGATAAGCCAAGGCAGTTTGAGGAGACTCTTGCTCCTGAAAGCAGACTCCCCACCACATTAAACCCTCCGAGGAGTGGGAAAATGGATGCTACCAAGCTGCTGCTCCCCGTTCTATGTAGGTATGCAGAGAATGGGTAAGCAAAGGGAATGAAGTCTTGGCTTTGCCTTCCAACCTGTCAGTCAGCAGGAGAAGTAATCTACCTTGGTGAAAGAGCGGGCTCACTTCTTTCACGTAGGAAGGGAGAAGCAGGGGTTGAACTGTGTACCCTACTGAAGTGCCAGCTGTACATCTGAACGGTAACAAACAGCAGAGCATCTCCATCAAATTAACACACAGTTGGGTTAAACAACAGGAGACACATAACAATTCATTACACTGAAGTAAATGGTCAACGAGTTCGAAGATTTTATTATTTATAGGTTCCCTAAAGGTCTTTTTTTATGGATACAATTTTCAAGACTAATGATGACAAATAATCAGGCTACACAGTAAGGCACAAACCAATGAGGAAAGTGAAACATTTAGAGAGAAATAAGGAAGCAAGCGAGCAGCCCAACGTGTGTGGAGTTCAGACTTCTTTTCCTTAAATGACCACTGAGCATATATGAGAAACATGCCTTATCTTTTGAAGGCAGATTAGGATCATGTAATAATTCTACATCTGCACAGACTTGATGATTAATGAGGTTAAGGGCGAAGGCTCAGGTCAAAGCATGCCCTTCCTCTGTGCTTTCCCCCCTGCATTCCAAGCATTCATTTTCAATTTACCTTTAAAGCTCAACAGTAGGACCAGTAATAACGAATGTAGTAGACACTTACCTGATGAGAACACACTGGTTGTCATGACGCTTCCATAGGCAGCGGTAGCACTCGTTAGCGACAGCAAAGATATGAGGTGGAATTTCCCCCACGTGGTGCTTGCTATATTGCTCTACTGCAGTGTGGTCATACAGTCCCGGAATGATTTTGTAGGGGTTCACAGAGGCAACAATGGAACCAATATACGTCTGCAAAGGCACACAAAACAGTATCCCCGGGTTAAATATGGGTATGTTAAGGACCAACAGGGAGTTCTTTGGGAGTAGAAACAGAACTTACTCTTTTGCAAATGCCTAGTATGTGACAGGGGCACTCTCTGATACAGGCATACAGTATTTTGTCTGTGTCTTGCTCTGATACTAGCACATCAAGCTTAAGACAAAGCAGCAGCCTGTTAAACATTTCTACCTGCCTTGCAAATTTCAACTAACTCTGGGTATGTCTACACTACAATGTTAGTTCGAACTAATGGACGTTAGTTCGAACTAACATTCATAGCCGTTACACTAGCGCTCCGCTAGTTCGAATTTGAATCGAACTAGCGGAGCGCTTAGTTCGAACTAGGTAAACCTCATTTTACGAGGATTAAGCCTAGTTCGAACTAGCTAGTTCGAATTAAGGGGTGTGTAGCCCCTTAATTCGAACTAGTGGGAGGCTAGCCCTCCCCAGGTTTCCCTGGTGGCCACTCTGGCCAACACCAGGGAAACTCTATGCCCCCCTCCCGGCCCCGGACCCCTTAAAGGGGCACGGGCTGGCTACGGTGCCCGTGCCAGGTGCAAGCCTGCCAGCACCCAGCT